TTACATTTTTTACACTTATAATTTTTTTTATTGACCCACTGCAGTATTGCAAACATCTCATTTTATTACTTCATTGGTTCTACAAGGTGATGAAAGCTTGAAGGAACCAAATTTATGTTATTAAAAAACAGCTGAACGATTCGGCTGCAGTATGATTATACAAAATTACAAACATTCCCTAAAATATATTTATAATAACATCTCAGAACAGCCTCAATTTTATCCAAAACTTAGATTTTCGAACTTTTAAGAAAATTAAACTTTCACTGCCTAAAATAAAAATGTGGAAACTAAACAAGCAAAAAAGAAAAGAAGTGATACATAAAACATAAAAAGATCGGATCAATGAAACTGAAATTCGTGACGTTGAATATCTATGAATATCTATCTACAAAATATTTTCCACACCCGTAAGCTACAAAACAGTCATCAGATGCTGCTGTGCATCGATATCTGTGAATATATTGGCTGGTGGAACCGAAGTAAGGCGTTGGCGTAATAAAGGTCTTGCTCGCGCCTCATCAGTAGAACTATCTAGAATAAACTCTGAAAGTAATGAATCCACTTCAATGCAACCAAAAATGGGTCATATTTTGGGTCATATTAAGGTCATATTTTCGATAAGTACTTGTGCCAAAGCTTTAAGGGTTGATACAAGCAACAAAATATTGCCGTAACGTATCGGTGCCTCCTCAGGCATCTGCGCCAAAATGTAGCAATATAGAGCTTTAAGTATTCGATTACGAGCATCACGTAATGCCTAAAAAAGAATTTCATACTGAGTCAACAATATGATACATTTCAATTATTCATCTCAATGCGAATTCTCTTAGTGATTAAATTTTTGGTTATAACTGAGAATTTTAGTAGCTTCAAATGACCTGAACTTATCTAATCTGATTTTTTTTTAGGAGTTCAAACCTGACAAAAAATCTATCTATTTCAAACAGCTGTATACTTTCAAACACTATATAGCACGCTATATTTTCTAGATTACATAAATTTGCAACAGCTTCACTATAATTGCTTCAGTTACAAATAACTAAAGCATTTCATTACTTCCTCGTATGACTCAGCAACAATCTCTTAACGTTTGTTTAAATAACGATACAGTTATTAGATTAGGAATATGATATCAGAATTAGTAATGGTTTTTTCTTTCTTTTTTAAGCAAATTTTTGAATCTATACTCACTTTAGTTTGTGACGAATTATACCTATTGACTACCAGAGTCCCTATCATATTCCTTATCAATTTAATTACTTCATCTCATTCAATAAGCATAGAAAAATAAAAATAAAACGACCGTTTGAGTTGGTGGAGAAAGTCCTTTCGCTTCAGGATGAAGAAAAGCCAAAGCTTTCAGGCAAACAAATTCTTCTCTCATTTGCAAATGTCTCATTGGCCACACTATTTCATCCATCACACGTGGCATAATGTTGCTTGTTTTGAATGCCGATAAACCTATCAAAATGTTTATATTATCTCTAGAATCCATAAAACATAAAAAATTACGTCTGAGATTCGCAACCTCAAAAATTAATAAGAGGCCTAAATAATATTTATGAGAGTCATGTTGAATCGACACAACATCTTGACCCCACAACAAACATTAGGTATGCTGATATGTTAATGCATCTGGTGAAAATTATAATGTTACATATAAATGTTCCTAAACCCCGCCTTCAACATTACATGTACGATATTGATTATTAATTGGAATATTGATTAATTAATGGTTCGTAGCGTAATCAAACCGTCAAATTCGATGCCCTCCTCGTGATTCCTGCCTGTGTTATTGGAAAGGTAAGTACGAGTTGTATCCGGTGAACAAAATGCTGGTACCAGAATCAAATGCTGTGGCGCATAATCTTTAAGCAAAATAACTTTGTTATCCATAATTAAGTCGAAGAACGGTTCCAAACCTTTTGCCCAATCAACCTGGAACAAATAGCCTGAAAATGAATGATGCTTTCCAATATAGTTCAGACATCAAGTATTCTTCAGATTTCAAATCTAATCAGATAAATGGTATGCAATAAGTGAGTAAAAATTGCTTCCATAAAATCATCTCCAAAAAAATATTTAGTATGCGAAAATAAAAATCTCCTACAATATTAATAGGTGAGAGATGAAGCCACCTAAAATCAGAGAAATTAATTGCTAATAATTTTATCAAGAGATGTATGAGAAACTGCACTATAATTAAAAAATTTAACAACTACATTACTATTTTATTACCAACAATCAATCATTCTGCAATGATCCGAGCCTTACAATATGTCGCAAAATTGAAATGAGTAATCGAAGTACTTATACTGAATGTTAACTGCTCAACAGTAATCCTTCTGCTCTTCAAATAAGTAATCATCCATTAAAAATGGGAGACCAATAGCAGTCAACAACATATCGTACAACTTTTTGCTCATTTTTTTCTTGCTTGCATACTATTTTGAATGTTTCATCATTAAGAGGAACCAACCATTAATACAAGCGTTGTTCTGGATAATTCATTCAAATCATTAGTTGAGCATATCTTAATGTGACTGAGGAAAAACCGATGGTGTTTCATCAGCACAATTATTGATTGCTGTGTAAGACGAACTGATTACCGAGTTTCGATAATGAGTCTGATTGGTTCATGTCTCCATTTGCATTAATCGTTCGATAACATCCGATTTCCAGGTGTCACTTATCAATCGACTGTTACAGCATTGTGTTTCAGAAAAGTCGTTTCCCGTTTCACTATTTTCGCCAGTTCGTAACAGCAATGGTTCACGACGACGCTTAATAGGACCAATTGAGTCATGTTCAAACTGAATTGCTATAAAAGAATGGAATTTGAAATCTGATATATCAATGTCTTCATTCATTTAACATTTGATAAAAATTTATACAACAAAATCCGGCCAAAATAGCTAATCTCGATTTAATCTCGTATTGCATCATTTCTTGGCCGCAAAATGACTCAAAATTTAGCACAATCAATTTTCATTTTTTTTAACCTTCATTTTCACCTTAATCAAACGTGTTTAAATTATAATCAATAGCTTTAGTCTGATAATCAGGTCGCCGAGTATTATTTGTTGTCAATCTTCTCGCTTCATCCCAGCTCGTACGCACTTTTGGAACGACAATATCGACAAGCGCATCGAAAATTTTTGTCGATTGTGCATGCTTCGTTGAAACGACATGTGAATTTTTGATTTTTGAGAATCGTTCGCCGGAAAAAGCCCTGGAAAAGCAATGTAGTAGTATTATTAATTAATACTTATTTCAATTATGACAAAGTACTTCAGTTAAATTTTCATTTGATGAGTTAACTCAACTACTGAGAAATCAATCGAACAACTTTTCAAATCCCACTGATTGTTGGCTCGATTTGGACAAGCACTGATGCATTAAAATGCTGGCATGAATGATGTATCTGATTTAATACATTATAATCCATTATTTGAAATAAACAAAGACTATTTTGCTGTATAAAATAATGAAATAATCAGCCAATGCCAATTATAAAATTATTTTCTACAAGCAGGAAAAAAGCACAAGTTTTACGAAAATAACGGAAAGAGGAAATGATAAAAATTATACCCTGCATCCATTACATGAAAGCACTCCGTAATGTGTTCTAGTTGATTTATCGCCACAAATAGCGCATAGCTCATGTAACGTATTCACTGCAAAAGAAAAGCAGACCCCAATGAAAAAATAGCAACTGTTTATCTGATAAAATAAAAATTCCTTAACAGAAATGATACAGAAAGCAAAAAAATCTAAAATAAAATATTTTTAACAGAAGTTTAATAAACGAAAAGGAAAATTGATTAATTAGATTAAATTGAACAGCCTTAACCATTTATTAAAACAAGGAGGACAATTGTAAAACTACTTTCCAAGAAAAAATATAAATTTTAAAAAGTACAGACCGAAAATGAATGAATTAAAAGGTAAAAGGTAGAAAATAAAAGTGAAGAAACCTTAGTGATAAATAACTAGTTACTGAATCATATCAATGATCAAATAATAGAATAAATGAATACCAATAGTTAAATTCTGCACAAATTTAGGGTATCTAAAGTTTTAGAATTTTACCATGATCCATTGCAATCCTTGTCGGACGAATTTGAAAAATCCACAAATGAATTGCACGTTTAAACGAAGTCTTTTACTAAATTACCCATATTTGTTTCAATTCTTCAGTGAATGACAATTGATTTGAATAAAATCTGAAAATTAAATGAGTAATTCTATTTCCATTTTTTTTCAAATTTTAAACAGTCGAGAAAAAAACAAAACTAATCATTTCAATAAAGTTTAAGAAATTTTTGAACTTTGCATTCTCAAACGATTATAGAAATGCTTCCAATAGCTTTTAACAAAATGAAAAGATGAGCCATATAAAAATAAGTTCATGGAGTCCACACACAATTTAATTCAACGCAGGAAACTTACAGATAACTCACACTTCAAAATTTCAAATAAATTTATCGAATCAGCAACTAACTTCTCCTTAAAATATCCCAAAACAATGCGATATGAAAATTCGGAAAAGTAGTATGCAAATTAGGAAAATAGGATAAAAAATTTCAAATGAATAAATCACCAAAATTATCATTTCAAAAAACAAAAAAAAAAAAACCGATCAGCCTAACCTGAAAGTAAATTATGATTGTATAAACCCATCCGGTCAAAAAATGGAAACAAAAGAAACCGGAGGGAGGGGGAAAAACAATCAGTGAACACACCGACCGAGCTCCGTCACACCAACCACCTTTAGGAACCGATGACGCAAACGCTAATTGATGGGGACTTAATGGCTCGCATCCTACGTGCAACCTGCCTTCTATACAACCTGCCTTCCATGCTCTGTGCTATTTCATCCATTCTTTTACAGTCTAAATCTCTTCACCTAAAGTGCACGTTTACTTTGACCAGACAGAATTGGTTGTGAGAAATTTTGTTGGGACGTGTTCAGAACGGTGTCTTTAAGAGAGTGTGAGAGGGAGGAAGACGTACGATGAAATCTCTGAGAGGACGCGGGAGGAATGAATAAGTTTTAAAGGTGAAAATACAATTGGTATATCCTGAAGAAAGCACAGGTAAGGCCTTAGAGATTAGTTCTTAATTAGTTACAAATGATTAGAAGTTATTTTTTTTTTTGAAAATATGATTTAACAAAGTAATTTTGAGTTATATGTCGAGATTTTTCACTTTTTTTTTTTTGAAAATAATGTATTGTTTTTCGATCCGTGGAAAGTTATGTTTATTTGCTTCATCATTTAGCTGCTTTAATTATTATTTTACTCCTAAAGCACATTGATGGTGTTCAAGTGCTATTTGGTTGAATTATAGTTAGTTAATTAGTAAAGTGCTAATTTTAATTCATGCTAGATTTCGGTGAAGCAAACTGTATAATGAAACAAACTGGTGATATTTCTACAACCAATGATTCTCCTAAATATCAGCAAAAGTAAGTTTTGGAAAAGTAATTTTAAATTATTAATTGTTCCATCTTAAATTTGGTTGCTAACATCATTAATTAATTGTCTAGAACGAATTGTCGTTTATTAGTTCAGCTCGAGAAGTGAACAAACGAAGCATATCCGCTTTCGATGTTTCAAAGTGCTATTACATTTGATGCACAGTGCTGTTGATTTTACGTGTCACATCTCACGTGAATTGCATAATTCCAGTTCTTATAATTTAAGTCTATCTCTATTTTAAGAGTTAAATACTTCATGCTCATTCTTCGAACGTCTTGAAAAAACTAAACCTCAATTTAGAAGCAGAACATTTAAGATTTACACGTTCACACAAATACACGTTCAATCATACTTTCTAGGTTTACACGTTCAATCATACTTTCTAGGGCAGTGTGCCAAGTGGATGTCCTGACAATCAGATTTTACGTAAAGTAGTAAGTAGTTGGATGGAGCGGTGAAAGGCAAATGTATTAGATTGAATCATTACGGAATTTGAAAATTTTAAGTTAATTCTTGTTAGCATGATGAATCTATTGAGTTGAATTTAAAGTCAGATTTCAAAGACTTCAAAGTGCAGAAACACACTATTTATTTCTTCTTTTTAATCAGTGAATTTTAAATTTAACAATTGATTATCAACCGAGTTGGCATATGGCTTTATCTACATCAGAAATAAAAACTGCAATTTAGTACTAAAATATATTTTATAGTTTTCTTTAACAAAATATGTGAATTAAATTCAGAAAAAGGTGGCGATGGAGTCAGTTTACGGTTGACGCACTGGCAGCAGGAGAGTCTCTTCTATTTTCTAGTGTTCGAGCCAAAATTACATCACAGTTTATACCGGTGTGTTTGTATTTTCCATAATTTATAGATTTTTTAGCCTTACTTAGCTTTACTTTAATTTTTCTCTCTATCCTTGATAAAATCTGAATTGCGATAATTTTTGAACATGTTTAAAAATTAAATCAAAGTATCTTTTATGTTTGAGTTATTGTTCAAATTTTTCGTTTTCTGATTTCGTGGATTTGATTCTTTTATGTTTGATAGTTATCTTTTCCAATATTTAATTTCTTATGTTTATCATTATCCCATTTTCCAGGTAGACATGGGTCAGATATATACGGTGACCGCTGAGACTCCTACATCCTCATATACTCGTATTCCAGCGGTTCTTATTCATGGATTTGCTGGTGGCGTAGCTTTATGGGCAGCTAATATTGATGATATGGCGAAAAAACGGATACTTCATTGTTTTGATTTATTAGGTTGCTATTATTGACTAAATGGTTTTTTAAAAAACGTTCGACATTTCATATTTGCAGCTTTGTTATAGCTTAAGGGAGATGAGTCAAATTTCGTGTCTTTTAATTCCTTGAATATTCTGTTAATTTTCAGGATTTGGGCGTTCATCGCGTCCTGTATTTGCCAAAGATCCAACACTAGCCGAACTGCAATTTGTTCATTCAATTGAAAATTGGAGAAAAAGAATGGGAATTAACAAAATGATTTTAGTTGGGCATTCCTTCGGTTAGGATTTATTCATATTATTTTGTTATGATGGCTTGAAATCCTAAAATTATTTCACACTTGTACTTTCATAAGTTTTGCTAATTGTACTTCTGAGAGAATTTCTGTAATTATTTCAAGGAAACCGCTTTTTTGAATGTCAGCATAACTTCTGGAAGTGCAAGTGTGAAATGATTTAAAAGAAGTTGTCCTTTTTGTTATATCACAAATTCTTACTTTCCTTGACTTCAGTGAACTGCTGTTAATTCTCAAAATGCCAATTTACAGGTGCATTTCTGGCGGCATCTTTTGCGCTAGAACATCCTGAGCGTGTACGACATCTGGTTCTGGTTGATCCGTGGGGATTTCCGGAGAAACCCGTGGAGATTTCGCAACAAGTAAATTTTCATTTCATATGTTTTCCAGTATATCCATATGGTACTCATTTGCTATTATCAAATTTCGTTAGAAAATATCGTCAAGAAAGTACTTTGATTTATTATATCATAGAGTTTCAGCAAAATTATCCAGTTTGGATTAGAGTTGTTGCGCGGGCGATGTCATTTTTTTATCCTTTGACAGCTTTACGCTGGGCAGGGCCGTATGGTAAATTTTGTTCTTACTTGTACACTTCGATTTTCAATAGAAATCAAAATTTGAAAAAGCAAGAGCAAAAAAATTACATTGCAGGTGTTTCAGTGATTAAAACCTTACGACCTGATTTAAGTCTTCGTTTCCGATGTTCTGATCCAAATGCTATTTATGAATACTTTTATCAGTGCAATGCTCAAAGCCCTTCCGGAGAAGTTGCCTTCACTAATATGAGCTTTTCATTCGGTTGGGCTAAAAGACCAATGCTTAAAAGGTTAACAGATTTAGACTGTTATAGATCAGCTGTTTTAGATTTTGAGTAATTTTATAAAATTCAAATCTATTGACTTATCTTGTTTTTTTAGTTATTTGTTTGTTTGTGCTTTTGGCTTATTCTTTTAGTGTTCAACTGTATTTGCTGAAGATATTATCATTGAAATCATAATAATCTAATATTACCTTCTCTAGAATAATCGATCTATCACCTGAAGTGCCGATTACATTCATCTATGGGAGTAAAAGTTGGATTGATTCATCTTCGGGTATTGAAGTACAAAATGAGAGGCAAAATGCTTATGTTGACGTTCAGGTTTGATAAAATTTTCAAAATTTTTTTTAATTTAACGCACTTTTTTTTAATTCATGGAGGGTTTTTTTGCGGTAACCAAGAGTGATTTTTTTTAAGATGCATGCATATTTCATATTTTCAATTCCGATATTCCATTGTTACCTGTTTGTTGTGACTTTTATTATTTTATAATTCTAGATCAATAATTCTAGTTAGAATTTGAATTTTTTTGAATTCCTAATAGAATTTACATGGAAGAATAGTATGTACTCTGATTGAAGGTTATAAACGGTGCTGGCCATTACGTCTACGTTGATCAGAAGGAAGTTTTCAACAGTGTATTGTCTGATTTATTCGATAAAATTGATGCAGGCGAAGATGCCTTCCTCAGAAATAATATAAGAAAGAAAATCGATTCAGAATAAAACCGTCATTAAAGCATATAGAAGAATTTAAATCCATTATGTAAATGAATAACCAATTTATCAATACGGCTGATTAGACATTGCATTTG